GCAAGAATGAGAGACAGAACAAGGTGCAAGTTTCCTACCTCTTTCAGGACTCCATTTAATCTGCCTCCTCCTCCAATGCTTGGTTTCTCCAAAAGGAGATTTCTTCTCCTTTCCTTCACCTCCTATGGCAATTGGCTTAACTGCCTTCTGAATCTGCAGGAGTCTCTCTCCTTTCTCTGACTCTACAGCACACCAGGAGCAGGGACCAGCAATCCCTGGCTTGAGATTCCCAAGGGAAATCCCACAAACCACTTCTAAAGGGCCTGTGAAAAGTACATGGAAAAAGAAGTCTACCATCTTATGTCTATCATCTACAGGTCTCATGAGGAGCGGCTGAGGGAACCGGGGTGGTTTAGTCTGGAGAAGAGAAGGCTGAAGGGAGACCTTATCACTGTCTACAACTACCTGAAAGGAGGTTGGAGCGAGGCCAGGGTCAGTCTCTTCTCCCAAATAACAAATGATGGGACAAGAGGAGATGGCCGCAAGTTGCGCCAGGGGAGGTTTAGATTGGACATTAGGAAAAATTTATTTCCTGAAAGAGTGGTCAAGCATTGGAACAGGCTGCCCAGGTAGGTGGTGGAGTCACCATCCCTGGGTGATCAAAAAACGTGCAGATGTGGCACTTCGGGACATGGTTTAGTGGGCATGGTGGTATTAGGTCCACGTTTGGACTTCATTATCTGAGAGGCCTATTCCAACCTAATGATTCTATGATCTGAAAGCTTAAATCTACTACTGAGGGGTCTACATTGCCACTGGGAGTTTACAGATCCAGATAAAAGGCTGGAAACTACTGACAAACAAACACATGCTGATCTAGGCAAAAGCTTTGGGATTCCCTCCTCTGCCCTGTGGAGTTACGTGGACCAGACTGATTAAGGGTCAGACACATTTCCCAAAAGCTCTGTCTGCCTTTTAGGAGTTGTCTGGACATTCTTCAGATGTGTGTGCATGTGGGCAGGGGCTGAGCAGGAGAAACGGGGTGCAGGAACTGTGGTTTGATTTGGGGACAAAGGCCCCTAAAGTTACAGCTTTTCAAGGCATGTAAAAACCTTTCACTGCTAACTGCCTGTTGCCTGTGGCTCAAAATGGGCAACTCTAGCTCACATAAATGGCTAAAATGTGAATAAATGATCAGGGACCCACCAGAGCATAGCAAAGGCAGACATAATTCTGTGCAACCTTGCTGAAGAATTTAACTCACAAACTGAAAGGCCTCCTACTACCCATAGGTCAGAGACTTCCCTGATTAGAGAATACCAATTACTTCAATCTGCAGACATAAAGAAAACCACCAAATTCCCATTTGCTTGCTTGTTATCACAGGTCCTGACTCAGTTACCTTCACGTGTACACTGTACTCCCTTCTATGGTCTCTTTTCTTTATGTTAATAAACAAGTACCTCATATCTATTCACAGGTGGTCAAACGCCTGTTTCCTTACAGGTACTATGAAGAAGGCCGGGGGGGCGGGGCGAGGAAGCCAGCATAGGACACAGCTTCGGCAAAGATCTTAAAAAAACCCCAAAACAACCCAAAACCAAACCCACAAACCACCACCAAACACACCCAAAACTAAAAGAAGAAAAGATTGTTAAGACCTACTGTACCTTTTAGGGGCTTTGGTCTCTCTCTTTCCTGCAGACAACTCAGGGTCTTCCCTCTCCAACAGCCAGTCTAATAGCTCTGGAATGCTTTGCTTCAGTTACATCCCTTAATAACGTAAGATGTTAGTTACTCCCTGTATGAGATAGTCACCCCGGAACCACTCATCTTTACATATTTTTATTCTCCTGTATTTCAGATTAAACTTTAGACCAATACTATGCTATCAATAAAAAATGCTCCCTCACCCCTGGAGGATGTATGAATAGGAATACGTTAATCTTCATTATGACCATTCAAATATTGTCAATATCATATGTTTTCAGCCTAAAATTCAGCCATTGAGGAATTCAGATTTTCTACTATGCATTATCACCTTCCATCCACAGCAGGGGATGCTTAGACTGGAAAGCTCATCCTGACTATTAATCCTTTCAAGAGGGAGAAAGCCTCCTTTATCTCATATCATAATTTCTCTCTCTCCCAGCGAAAACAAACCGATCACCCATAATCTTGCTTCAAACACATTACCTATTTTGCTATAGGCTGTTCTCTAGGGTTTAAACAACCTCAAGTAATAAGGTTCAAATTGAGCCTCTCTTCTCTTTCCACACGATTCCCTTCATCGTTAATTGACATTCAGCATGTATGCATTGTGCAGTAAGGAACAGCATAAACACCCCCGAGCCAACACAGACAGGAGCTGGGTCAGTCTTTCCAAAAGCAATATAAGTGCATGACAACATAACAGTTTGGCAACCTAACCTGTAGTGTTTGCTGAGCATCTTTCCACACGGATTGCAGGCTGGACATTAGAAGGCTGAGACACATGGCTGAGCTGCCACATAACAAGCTGTGCCTAGCAGTCGGGCTGTGGTAACCAACATCTGCATTAAACTTTTTCCTTGCAAACACAAGGGAAAATTTAGCTTAAATACCTTTCCCTGCAGTTTATGCTAATGTCACTTTGCATTTGGAGAGGGCTAAAAGCACACGACAAGTTGCTGTGGGTCGGCTGATACACACACCTGACCCTTTCGTAGCATTTTTCATAGCATAAAACACATTCAAACCTACCTCAAGACCTTAAAACAACTCCACTGCAAGTGCTATCCTGCTCTGCTCATCCAACACCTTCTCTCCATACACACATCCCTCCCATGGGCTCACTTTTAGCTTTTTAATCCGCTTTCCTTTATGCTCCTGTTAAGCCTTGAATTACCTCCTACACTTCACAACTCAGTCATACTGCCATTTCTTTTACCTCTCTATTCTTTTTATCCTGGCTGTCACACGCTCAGTGCTCACACTAGTCTTTCAGTAACTCATGAGGGGGACCTATTGCTATGCCACTTTCCATGTAAAATTAACAGAATGCTAAATACTAATTAATATTTCCATAGTACCCACAGGGAGTGATTCCCTCCGGCTTTCTGGAGTTAGCGAAGTCACGAACACTTTTCTGACTTGTAGCTTCTTCCTACTTGGGCAGTTGTTGAACAATCCTGTTCTGGTATCAGGATTCCCTCTTCTTTGCTAACAGCTCCCAACTCCTGACCTACGCTGTCACAGCAAGCCACCTGTAATCAAAACACTAATGCTATGCCTGCCTTCTTGTTTTATTTCATAGTTTTGCTTTGCTTTCTACTTTTTCTACAGAAAACCCCCAATGGTTAAAACTGGTAGTTCGTTTCATGAGATGCAGACATCTACCTACAGCTCCAACAGGAACTAAACGTGATTTTGTGATTTCTCGCAGAGAACAGAAAGGACCAACTAGAAACAGAGCAGAGGCATCTGTGAGATGGTTCTCACCGACACTTACGATACACTGGCTACATCAGGGACAATGTGGTTCAAAGCTCATTTAAGGCCTTCATGATATCCACTTGGAACAAGCCAAGAATCCAAAGCTCCTCGTAAAGAATACGAGCTAGACAGTTCAGCATCCTACAAAGCCCCTCCTCTGCTTAGCAGAAAGAGAATTATTGCTGTTCCAAGCACCCTTCCTTAGACTGTTGCAGGTCCAGGTAGAGACAATAACTATTTGGCTAGATACTGGTATGTTTGTGTCTAGAGCTGCTTTTGTCAGATTTCATTTTCATCCTTCATTGTCAAGGCAAAGGTATGACTACTGAAAAGAGAATGACCACAAAGCAGAGCTGCCTTTTGAATTTACAAACAAAATTAGCAAAACGTTTTGAATTTCTGGCATGCTCCACACCAGGCATTGACACAACAGAGCTCCCAGCACAGGCTCCAAGTATTTACCTGAGGGTGGAAAACTACAGGGTGGTAAAGAAAGTGGAGTCTCCTTCAACTCTTACCTTCATCTACCTTTTACCAAGTCTGTATTTGAAGAAACCTACATCTCTGCGAAGCTAATTTACACACAGAGGAACCTCGTATCCCCACACCCTCAAGATAAATAAATGGCTAAATTGAAATACTGAATATGTAAGGCCTTGTTCATTCAATTATCTTTTTTTCCTCCAAAATTACCCTGCAGACCTTAACAATTAACTACTTAAAGATACTCTTTCAGAAAAGCAATTTCTTAGCTGCTAGGAAGTCAGAGCGAGATCCAGAACCATGGCAAAACACATCTGGTGTTTGTTTCAAAGAAGCAGAGTTGCACAAGCATTTTTGCAGAACAAAACAAAAGTTGTTTTGCTTAAGAAGGAAAGATGCTGTTCTGGTCTAGCACTTTTCTTAACACACGTCAGAACAGGTTTCTGTGTATGTACATCACCTTTCCTATAGCTTGGGTGGGTTACCGTTTTGAAGCTTGTAGGGCATGGAAATCTGAATAAATCACTCAACTACATCTGACTGTACAGCAGTTTGGAAATAGTGAGGAAATCTTGACCAAATCCAATTTTAAGACTACCTTCAGGTTTTAAGCTCTTGAGCAGGAACCTTCTTTGTTCTCTATTTGCACAGTGCCTAGCTCAGCAGGGTCCTGTCGTGACTAGGGGTCCTAAGTTCTACAGCAATACAAATAATAAATAAAAAATAATAATACATAGTATATGCTCAATAATACCTACTTTATACCCTGTTTTTCAACGACACACTGCACCCCAGCAAACAGTTGAAAAATATGGTAACGAAGTTACCCAAGGTTGCAGGACAAATGCAATTTGTTTGATGCAAATATTTAACCTTAAGGTTCAAGTGGCTGGGAAACAGTAACGGTATTGCTTCACCAGCACCAAAACAGACACAGACCAGAGAGATGTAACTGGTTCATGCACAGCCTTGGGAGTCCAGCAGAAACTGGGAGGAAACATTTGTATAGAACCCAAGGCAGTAAATCCATGAACAGCTTCTCATCTCCACCATCTATTTTCATGCTAAAAGGAACTACATATGGGAAGAGAATTCCAGTGGGGTTTTTTTTGTGTTGGCCTTTTCATTTGGAAAAACAAATAAAAGGAAACAGAGAAGGTAGACAAATTGTAATGAAGCATTTCGTATATCCCCTATGGCTATCTCATTTTTCCCAAATGACTGCTGCATGAAATTAAGAAATTAAAGACTGAGATTTGAGAACAAAATTATAAATTAAAAAAGGAGGCATTTAAAAGAGAATTTCCTAAGGGTTTCATTCCTTCCCCACTCTGCAGCAAGGAGAGCAAAAACAAAATCCAAAAGAGGAGAGAAGAAGTCAGAGGGGATCAGAAAGTCCAGTCTTTCAGCCTGTCTCCCATTTTGCTAAATTTTACAGTAGGTTATTTAAGAAGCGGTAGATGTTCCGGTAGAAAGCGGGCAGCAGCAAACACAGGCATCGTCTCCTCCTTCCAGCGAGGTCTGTGCAATCTCAGTCTCTTGCTCCGGGAAGGAGAGGTTTTCCTTCCCACACTTTTACTGCCTTCCAGTGTGGGAGAGGGGAGAAGTGTCTGCCAGAGATTGGGGTCTGGCATTTCTGAGGCTCCCCTCCCTCCGCTGGGCTAAAAGGAACTCAAGTATTCCAGTGCAACCTCGTATACAAATTTATACTGTTCCTGAAAGAGAGAGCAGAAATCAGTGGCATTAGGATACAGGTAAATTTTACAGAGCCTCATTCTACAAGCTGTCAAAAATGCCTCCTCTCTCTTTCTTATACCATATGGCAGGACCAGGCAAACATGAACTGCATTTCTATGTGATCCTGAACAAGCTTTACTAAGAGATGGTGCCATCAAATAGAAGAGAAAAGCACTCAAAGAGACAGCCACAGTATGGTCTATTCATTATTTGCTTCAGGCCCTCATCGCACACATTGCTTTTGAGGAGGAATTCAGTGTGATCGATTGAGATGATTGAATTCAGCACAGTTTAATCTCTTCAGTTGCAGTGAGCAAGGCCTGGGCTTTGGACTGCTCTCCCTTCCTGGTTTCGAGGCATGTCACAGCATTAAGCACCGGGCTGTATGCACACACAGGGGACAGATCCCACCCCCGCCCCACAGCCATGGTGACAGCTACTTGGGGTTTAACCTCCTGGAGGCAGCTGGGCATGGGAGACAGTGCCCATCACCCTGTGAGGGCAGCTGCTACCCTCTGCTCAAGGAAGGAAGCAGTGGGACTGGGGGATTCATTGCACCTGCTGAAATGGGACTGATTTTAATTCTGATGGCTTCACATTATGATTCGTTTGGATTCATACTGGGCTAAGCCACGAAATTTTTTTACCTATCCCTTGCATATGCTGGGTGGGGTAAGTTGCAGGAAAAAAACTTACCAGTGACTCCACCATGTTGGATTTGTTATTCCGTAACGTTTTCACTATGTGGAACACATCAATGATATTTTGCTGTTGAATCATTTCACACACGCTGCAGATAGCACAGAAGGTGCCACTGCGTCCCCCACCATTCCTGGGTGCAGAAGAAAAGAGGCAACAGATGAAGCTGGGTGAGGCTGATGGAGCAGTGCTTACACAGCAGCTCACAACCACGGGTACCAAGAAAGGTCTGTAACGTAAGGACTGGTTAAGGATGCTCAAGGGTTTGTGAAAGTAGAGACCTGCAGGGCAGGAGACTGGGATGGAAAGGCTAAGCTGATTGCTGGCAATGGTGGACAGGGAAGCCCCAGGGACAGTGGTGTTGCCCCTCACTGCTCTGGGGCTCACAGCAGCTCTGTGGTCAGTTGGACACGTGGCAGCACTGCTTTGGTCGTGTCTGGGCCCCAGTCATGAGACCCACCTACACAACAGAAAGTAGCAGAGCTTTTTCAGCTACTCCTCACCGCAGTCAATAAATTCTCTGGGCCAAGATGCTATAACGTAGCACAATATTCAACTGGAAGTGTATTACAAAGGTAATATAACTTCATTTTCCCCAGCTGAAGCCTGGCAAACCACTAGATGTCCAGATCCATAATCAGTGCTCTTCAGACAGCATTTTGTGAGGTCACAGACATTTTCCAGTCCTACTTACAGGCAGTGAACAACAGTCCGTCCATCTCTTCCATCGTACTGTTCCTGCCACTTCTCCAATCTTCTGACCACCTTCAGGAGGGAGCGTTTGGAAGGAGGGGTGTCCCTGTATGCTGGCCAGCCAATGTACTGCAGGTGCTGAACTATGCGATATCCATCCTGAGGCTAAAACAAAGAGCGTTTTCAAGATGCTAAATGGAATCAAGCAGGAAGCAGAGGGAGAGGGTAAAGCAGGGGGCACTGGTTACACAGCATCTTCCCCTCTGGATCTGGTATCATCAAGGTTGATATCCTCCACTCGGGATACCTGATACAGTGGGGAAACAAGGACTTTTTTGGTAATTGGGATAACAGCGATGACCTCAGATATTACAGGGACAGGCAGAAAGTAGGTGCACGGGATCCCTGGTTTTGTTTCCGGTAGAGAATAAAGTCTCACCAAACTACATGAATAGATCAAAATAGACCAAATGTGTCTTTCCTCGTTGCCTGTGCCGGAGATTAGTTGTGCCATAAGAACTAAAGGCAAAGGCAGCACTCAAAAAACCCCCTGGGGACTGTGGCAGGAAAGGATCCTCATAAAGATTTTAGCAGTGACCATTGGTGTTCAACATGGACGGGTGCAGAAGGCTGCGAGTTCCGCCCTGCCAGCTATGCATTTATGAGCCAGCTTCATCCTGAGAGTCACAGAGCCTTAGTCTTACCGGCCACGTGACTTCAAGGCTGTCCCTGGTTGAGAAGCAGTTGGCCTGGGATATAGGAAGGTGAATATTTAACTGATTTACCACTTTTTGTAGTCAGACCACAAGGTTTGCTCTGCAATGCCACGAATAAATTGCTGCACAGGCTCTGACCGTACGATCAGAGACTGATGGGCTAAACAGCATGGAAATGTAATTTGTGGAGCCTGTTTCCATTTCTGATTAGAAAAAATGAAAAAGGAGCAAAAAAGAAGACATAATCAATCTGGGAAACAACTAATGAGAGAAAAATCCTCTACTTAAACCCTTTCCAGCAGCCCTGAAGTTGCATTGCCAGGGCCCAGTTTGTTTCTATCATTTCAGCTGTCCTGGGGCTGAGGGATGCAGGCAAAGAGTTGTTTACAGAAATGGCAGTTGCTTATTTATAGGAAAAACAGTGACAATTGGGAATCCCAGTCCAGCCAGTAAACGTTGCATCTGTCTTCAGAGACACTGCATAGTAGTTGACAGATGGAGAGCTGCTGACGCTATCTCAGTTTATTTCGTACGATACTGATGGTTTTATATTGGCTACTAAGTGATTAATTGTTCTTAAATATATACAGAAAAATGCTTTCCATTTAAATAAAGATTTTCAGCTCGTAACATCCACTTGCTACTTTCAGCCAAGAGTCTTTTACCAATACAGACTGATGCAATTAAATGTTAATTAAAGGAAGTAGATACTAAATTCTGCAGTGGAATTTTATTCCTAGGTGAGAGATTCAGCATCTCTATACCCCAAGTCTTGGTTCTGCCTCTTCCTCACGCCAAAATGTAGTTTTGATACTAGCTAGGAAAGCTGATATTTCACGGATCTTACCCTGGCCATGTTGCAGATCCGGAATATCCGGTTGATGATATCTTCATCAATGTCTGCTGAAACAAACTCTACTTGAATTGGGCCGTAACAACAGGACGTCTTCTCTGGCCAGTACTGCATGCAGAGCTGGAGCAAAGACCAAAAGAAACAGAAAGCACCTTAACTATTAACACGGAAATACATGTTCAGTCTTCCTTTGAATTTACCAGATCAAAATCCACAACCAATCTTGTATTACATGTATTTGCTCAGAGAAGACCTCCTTCTACCTCAGTAAACGGTTTTTATACCATGAATGTGAAGAAAAAAAGAAGGTTGATTTCCTGCCCCCCTTTTCTTCTGTATGAACACAATTTGTAACTGATATGATTCTGGGGTCTAAAGGTGCATGAAGGGTGGCTGATAAATGACGTCCTGTAGGGGTATAGATTTAAAATTAATGTTAAAAGATTCGTGTCTGTAGGAAATTTAACAGGAACCACGGAGGTTTGGTGTTAATGAGGAAACAGTATACACACCAAGAAAATTAATCTTAATTCAAGCAAAGCAGAACTTTTTTCTGGAAGATGAACTTTTTAGCTTTCTGACTCTATCAGTAGGCAGTGGTGGGAGAATAAGTTTGCTCTGACAGCAATAAGAGCAAATCTGATTTGCCTGTGAACCACAACTGAATCTCTGACATTTGTGAAGCAGGTTGGAAGACTTTTTGTCTTATGCTGATATCACTGAATTGAAAGTACAAAAAAAAAAATCCTATGCACACGAATTACAATCTAAGTATATCAAATCCATCTGGAAATAGATCATGGTGAGAAAATATTTTGCATGAGATCTCATTAGCAGTTTCTGCTGAGATTGTATTTCTGTTTTTTTTCCTTCCTATTTTCAAGTGTAATTTTTTAGAAGTTTTGAAACCCCCAGATGCTCATTTGAACTTGATCTCAAGCTTTTCAAGTTCAATCATTGCCAGTAATAACGTCAAGTGGGTGCATGCAACTGCATTAATTCTGTATTCCTGTTATTCCTTTGATCATATGGGATTGAAATTGGGTGGGATATTCACGCAGTCTTATGCATCTTTGCCCTTGTTAGTTTTTTCAAGATTAAGCAAGCCAGCCAAGACCACATAAGCAAGTCCTCCTTTGAAGGTTGTCTTTACTCTTCATTCAAACTTTCAAGCAGCCTACAGATCTCCTCACAAAGCATCTGTCCAATAGGCAAGGAGATTTTAGCTGAGCAGGTGCTTTAAGAAACAACATCAAGGTGCACTGGAAAGAAGAAAAGATTAAACCTTTCCTTAATATTGAAAATCTACTTTTCATAAAGCAGGTCTGTGAATGGCCATCTACCCAAAAGATATATACACACAGTGCTTAGAATTGTTACATTCTCTGACCTCTATGTGTTTTTATTTGCACCTTTTCCCTGCATAGTAGATTAAAGGTTCTCTTACCTATTTATTTTAGCTCTTTTCCTCTCTACAGTTCAGGCACAGCCTCTATATAAGCAGTTTTTATGTTTGTTACTCATGGGGATGAGTAACACCCTGCTCATGCACACAAACATGGTATCTGCAGGAAACTGTACACCAACACTTTCATAGTGCTTAGGGTACAGTGCTTGGATTAGGCAATGATGAACAGCTAGATAATTACTACATTGTCATGCAATGACAGTGCAAGCTCAACATTGCTAAATTTCCTTTTCACAACTGATGAGCTGAGCTGCTTGAGGGTAGGAAGGCTCTGCAGAGGGACCTGGCCAGGCTGGATCGATGGGCTGAGGCCAGTTGTATGAGGTTTAACAAGGCCAAGTGCTGGGTCCTGCACTTGGGTCACAACAACCCCACGCAGCGCTACAGGCTGGGGGATGACTGGCTGGAAAGCTGCCCGATGGAAAAGGATCTGGGGGTGCTGGTCAACAGCCCACTAAATAGGAGCCAGCAGTGTGCCCAGGTGGCCAAGAGCATCCTGGTTTATATCAGAACTAGTGTGGCCCGCAGGAGCAGGGAGGTGATCGTGCCCCTGTACTGGGCACTGGTGAGGCCGCCCCTCGAATCCTGTAAAGACACTGAGGTGCTGGAGCGTGTCCAGAGAAGGGCAAGGAAGCCGGTGAAGGGTCTGGAGAACAGGAGCGGCTGAGGGAACTGGGGGTGTTTAATCTGGGGAAGATGAGGCTGAGGGAAGACCTTATCACTCTCTATAACTACTGAAAGGAGGCTGTAGTGAGGTGGGGGTCAGACTCTTCTCCCAAGTAACAAGCGATAGGATGAGAGGAAAAAATTGGACACTAGGAAAAATTTCTTTACTGAAAAAGTGGTCAAGCATTGGAACAGGCTGCCCAGGGAAGTGGTTGAGCCGCCATCCCTGGAAGTATTAAAGGTGTGTAGATGTGGCACTTTGGGATATGGTTTAGTGGGACTTGGCTGTGTTAGGTTTATGGCTGAACACAATGATCATAAAGGTCTTTTCCAACCTAAATGATTCTATGATCATATGATATCAGACTGTCACACCTTGCCTTGAAAGCTCATAAGACACAAGCTTTAAAATAATCCTTAATGCCCAGTGCTTGTTGGGTGGTTTTTGGCATTGGCTGCAGACTCGAGCTAGGTGACACCATGCTGGAGTAACTGCAGCAGTGACTTTATGCATTGCCAAATCTCCTTGTGTTTCTATAGACTACCTCATAAGAACAAAACCTTTGCTAGGAAAAAAAAAAACAGAGCAGATAAAGTCTTGTGCAGAAAGATAGTTGCAATAACAACACTGGCTGAGGCCAATAGGTTTGTGTTTTCCAAGAATGATGTGAGAGAAAGTGTGTCATTTCCAGAAAAAGCTGTGGTTTTCTTTAGTGTCAGAAAAAAAAGGAAAACATGAAATTCATCCCTGGATTCAATGCCAAGACACAGAACGAGGCAGGGTGAATTGGACAGGAGGCAGCAAATGCACAGGACCACCAATTCCTCTCACCACAGTGGGACTCTGCAGGTCACCAAGACAGCCCACTTCTGAGCAGGGCTGTTCCTGTGGCTAGAAATGAAATCCCACAGCGTTCATCCTGAAGGGAGATCCCCTCAATGAATGGGGTGATTGGCTTCTCCATTACTGTATTAAAAAGAGACCAATAATCTGGCTGCCTTCAAGTATGGTAAGATTTTGAAGACAGAGATGAGACAAATGAAAAATTAATCCATGAAGTACCAACTACTTGAAGGTTCCTCTCATTTAACAAGTGCTGTAATGGGTGAATTAGCCATGCCAAATATACTCTTCACATAAATTGCTTGATTATGCCTTTTTGAAAGCTGTTATCTCCTGCCACTCATCAGCAAGGTGGCTGGAAATGCTAGAACAGGAGGAACTGCAATGGCTCCTCCCTGGCACACTGGATTCCTGAAGATAATGGAGTGTTTAGTAGCCAAGAAACCATCACAGACATGACACTAGAAAGAAAGAAAAAAAAAGATACACAGCACAACGTGCTTCTCCAGAAACTGTGCAAACCACACTTCTCAGTATTACAGAATTGCGTTGTAAATGTCAGGGAAAGGATCCTTCGAATGACTTCAGCATCCCTCTTGGTTTTAGTCTTCTGGAAATGCCATGTGAACTGGCAAGCATGAAGCACACTTGGGGTGTGGTAGGGAACATTTTTCTGAACCAAAGACAGACAAAAACACGAAAGGGAAGAAAGCAGGTTTGGGAGGAAGATTTAGGCCCACAAACATAACATATTTAGATATCCCTGTTAATTGCAGTAAGAATTGGCTGCCTTAGAAGGAGCCAAACATGTGGACTTATTCTTCATTATAGCCCAAAACACTACCTATTACTTTCCAGTTCCCTTTCATTTGTTTATTGGGCTGGGGAAGGAGGGCACAAGAAAATGGCAGCAGAAACGTTCTTAAAACCATCTGGATTTGAGAAGAAAGTTACATGACAGAAATGATGAAAAATCACTTACCTGTGCTGCATCCATCTCATTCAGCATCACAACAGAGGAGCAGTTATAATCAAACACCAGCCTCCAGAAGTCTGCTATGGTGTTGGGCAAAGGGTGCTGGGTTACAATAAAGGCAGCAGGTTGCTTGTGGCTCTAACAAAAGAATAAGATTAGTTAAAAAAAAATTCAATCAACTTTTATTCAAACGAATATTATACCCGGGAGGCTATGGCTAGGCAATCTGAGCCATTTAACCAGATTATACAAATCACATATCCCTCTCCTTGTTATCACTGTGCAATGAATGAATGTCTCATAATGGGATTCTTTTGCTCCCAATGAAGACATTTCATTAAAGAAGTGTCACAAAAGCAGAGATTACCCAAATCAATTATTTATATTTTGAGACTCAGCAAATAATACTAATTCTACTATTATTACTACTACTATCAGTAACATTAATAATTGGAAAGAAAACAGCTGGAAGCAAACGCCATCCTTTTTGCTGCAGTGGACTCTAGGAACCACAGAAGGGATTAGGCCCCCATCTGCTATTGCTCCCTGGTGAGGCAGTGCTACAGAGGTGGCACATTTGGATCCCAGCCGTCCCTTTAAGAGCTTGTGGGGCAATATTCAGAGCCTGCAACATTGGCATTTAATTTCTGATGCTATTCTTTCACCTCAAAAAAGCCCTCTGACCTCAGTCTCCCTAACCACGAAGGGGAGGAACTGTGCTCCTAACCTCTGCAGGGCTGTTAATGAATGTTTCCGAGGCACTTTGAGATGAAAGGGTACAGGCTCAAAACTTTATCATTTCCCAACCACAGCAGGCCATGCTTAGATGAGCCTCCAAACTGCACAGTCCTTTCTGCTGTACATCTGCAAAGCAGACTTGAATCAAAAGGCACAAAATATTTGTGGGTAAAAAACCAAACCCAAACAGATTAAGATTTTGGATTTAAAGAAATAAATAAACTCCCAAAGTATTAAGGTGGCAGTTGTGGGGTGGAAGTGCTGAGCAGACCATGCTGGGAAGGGGGAGAGGGTGTGCTACGCTTCTGAGTGTGCACGTGTGAGGAGGGTTCTGGGACATGAAGTAGAGGGAAGGAATACTCTATATTTCAAACTTAGGATCATCAGTATGGGTCAAAAGCTATGTTGTACAAGACCAACAGAAGCAACAGAGTGGTAAATAAAACAGTGAATCTTGTCTTTTAACTAGAGATAAGAACGTGATAATGTTTCTGCTGTGCTTTTTCATTGTGCACCTATATAGCAGATTGCATAACTGGCTAAACTGCTGACTGAAGGCAAGATGTGTTTTGAGGTTGTGCTATTAGGGAAAAAAAGAAACATCCCCCACCTATTTTCTTTGCTACAGGTAAGGAACCAGTCTCACCGCCCTATTTTAAATGGAAGGCAATACAGGGATGCTGCTTACTCACGTAAGAGAACACGTGTAGGATCTCAGGACAATGACAATGAGAGGGACACAACATGGACTCGTGTCCCCCTCCAAGCCCCAGGCATTAAATACAAACCTATCACTACTTCTGTGTGGCTTGACTCAGAGATGTGGGTAAAGTCTCTTTGCTTGAGGCTTATGTTCAATTGCTTTAGGGGAAGGTGAGGGACAGTATTTCACCTCTTCGTAACACACCATTTTGCAGATGCAATCACGGCTGTCCAATGATTCTCATTGGAAAGATCTTAAGGTCTGTTTACTTGAAAGGCACAGAGGGCATGAAGGGGAAAGGTCAGGAGTCTCAAAATTTGCTGGGGGAAAATTCCTCCCCGCTGTGGGCAACAGTAGCCCTTTGGCTGCATTCCCAAAAGCTAACTCAAGGCAGAAGAGGCTGGTTTGTAATATTCTGACGTCAACAGACTGAGACAGGCTTCAGCACAGTTTTATAACTAGGAGCCCAGACTGAGCGCGTCACCCCCCAAGGGAGGGTTCAAATGGCGTTCTGTGCCTAAGGTTAATTTTGGAGATCACAGTCCGGAGCAGCCTGCCAGATTGCCTTGCTGGGACAATTCATGCTTCCAAGCCCAGGCGGTAACCCATTCTAGGTGTATCATCATTTTTTTCTGCTCTAGCACTTCTTCCACCACAGCTTGCATGTAATACACAGAGCAAGCTGCAAGTTAAATAAGGTTTGGGGAAAAGTTTAAAAAAAAAAATTATAAACATGAGAAACCTGTAAGGTAGAGGTAAATAAAATGATCAGTAATGGGATTGTGTTGCCAAGTGTTCCCCAGCACGTGCCTATCTTCACACAGTGAAAGAACTAACGATAGTTTAAGGCAGTATGGGACGGATGATCTCTTGTAAGGGTCCATGCTCGGTACTAGACTGCAGATGTGAAGCTACTGGAAAAGACAAAGAATTTGCAAGGTCTGTCCTCAACAAGAACACCTATGAAAATGTGGCATTTTGGCTGTTCCGCTCTGATTTTTTTTCAAAAGCTGCTGATTCCTCTATGGAAGGATAAAAGGGAGCTAGAGAACCTCATAGTGGCTGAATTTCAATGACGGGTGAAAAATTCCTTTGTACAAAAATTTTAATTAGCAGAAATTTTGTGGGGAAGGATACAAGTAGTAGCAATGTGATTTGAAGTAATGAGGGTTGAAATGTGCAAACACATTCCCAGTCCCTAAGAAACCAGAGAAGAATTGATTGTGCTTCTGCAGATTTGCCAAATTACAAAACACACTTTAAAGAACAAAAAAAAAGTTTCCTTAGGCATATATGCAATGAAAACATCACAACCTTTCTGAAAAAAAAAATACTCTTAAATTAATTCTATGACCGTTTGACTTTTACAAAACACACTTTAAAGAACAAAAAAAAAAGTTTCCTTAGGCATACATGCAATGAAAACATCAAAACCTTTCTGAAAAAAAAAAACCTCTTAAATTAATTCTATGACCATTTGACTCAACCTCTTAAATGCAGTAGTATCACTGTTCCCCAAAGACTGAAAGAACAGACAAAATTTAAAAAAGACTGACCTCGACACTGCTAGGGAAAAAATGATGACATTTCACCCTGGATCATATTTACACATACTCCAACTGCAATAATTAGTGGCTTTAAAGACATTTCTGTCCAAAGGGAGCTAGGCACCACAGCAAAAAGAAACCATCAACATAATTCATCCTATGACCTGTGCTGTGAGATTCTAGCCTATAAACAAAGGAAGAGAAAATGCCTTCAGACAGAGTCACATCACCTGCCCAGGGAGGTGGTGGAGTCACCATCCCTGGAGGTGTCAAAGAGACAGGTAGATGTTGTACTTGTGACACGGTTTAGCGGTGCCGATAGAACTGGGACAAAGGTTGGACTCGATGATCTTAAAGGTCTCTTCCATGATTCTATGATTCCGTAACTCATGTTCTTCAGCCTTAAAGTATTTTGCACATCTGATCCCTGTACTCCCATATTCTTAACTGCATAAAATCTCAAATAAATCACTCGCTCCACATTGCAAACTATTCTTTTCAAAGAGCTGACCTGGTGGCTCCTGGCAAACATTTCTCTTCCAACTTACACAACAATCAACGTACGGGAAGAGTTGTCCCACCAGTCCTTTGTCCACCTGCCTTTTTATGATACAATCTCAGACTGCACGCTCATGAGCTTTGCCAAATATTTTCCTCCAACGTGAGGCAGAACTACAAGGGTAGTGTGATAATCACAGTCTAGGTGACACATTTCTGTGTGTCTTTGCTCAATTTGGAGATGTCAGCCCCAGAAGCTGCAGGTAAAAAAGGTTTTTCGCTTGGGATCCCTTTCTACCAGAAAAGCACCCTGAGAACAAATAAACTCAAAGCGGACTAGCATCAGCAGGGACAGGGCAGAGCTGCTTACATCCATGAGGGCAGCATTGATGTAGTTACTTGATTCACCATCCACAGAGATGAGGAAAGGTAGGCACCGGTCCAAGGGCAACACATCCATGCAGCGGTTCTTGTCATGGTTCCTTGGTAAAAGACCGATACTGCAGTCTTCTGGCCGAACACGTGGTGTCACAATATTGAGAGTCTGTGAAGGGGGGAGGGAAGAAGGGAAAGAAAGACAGAAGCAGGCTGAGTGTCTTTGAATTTACTTGCAAGAAGGATCTTTGGGATCCTTTGGGATCCCAGACAATGAAAAAGAAGCACCACCGAGCAGCTCATTGCTGTGATAATACATCACATTTTGCACATAAACCTGAGGTGCTCTTCTGAAAACCATAAGCTTCAGCAAACATTAAGGGCACTTACACCTTCCAACAATTTTCAGCTCTAAAACCTCACAGCAGCTAGATAACGCTTCTGTCTTTCCTAGAGGCTGGAAACAGCTGCAACAGGTACCAGTGGCAGCTTTGACCTGGCATGGAGTGAAATCTCCCCATGTTTTACCATCCCTAGAAGGCACACATCCTTCTTCCTCTTCAAGTGGATCCTGTGCACAGGTACCCTGAGTATTGACCTGGCTCACCCAGCAGGTCAGACTGGATTCACATTCTCCAGTGACTCCTCAAACTATTGATTTACCTTAACAACATATATAAAAACCTAAACCAAAATGTTGTGGTGTTTTGTTTGTTCGTTTGTTTGTTTTTACAGGAAAGTCAATCTGTTTAGTGTATTATTTAGATTGATACTTTCCTTTTGGAGTGACACATAGGATGCTTCACTTACATAGTCATACCTTATCTCTGGGGTCTTGCTAACAGTCTTTTACCATTATTCATCTTTCCCACTCCTTCACAGACATGTTTTACAAACCTCATTTTCTTTTGCATTATCCCTTGCGGAGGCCTCCTGACAAACCAGTCCAGGTTGGTCAGCAGGGATCAAAAATAGCAAATCAAAGTGCACACATCTTAATGCTGTTGCTTAAGTTATGGTAGATCAGTGGCTATCCAATGACACTCTACTTTCACTTGTTATGTGTCCTCTTCCTGACCAAAGCCCATGCAGTCATACAGTGAACTCCTTTGTAGCCATCAGAGGAACACAAAATATTTAGGGGCCAAAAAGAGCTTGACTTCTGCCACAGAGAGGTTATGAATAGAGAAAAGAGGAGGGTCAAACAATCCAAGATAAAAGAACGTGTCAAAGTATAAGATTTGAAATAATATAGTGGTCTAAATTATGCAGGTTCTACATAAAAGTCCCTTTGTCTAGAGATGGAAAGCAGGCAGTCTGGCTGGGGAAGCAACATGAAATCTCAGATCTCTGACAGAGCAGATAATTAGGCAGGTGACTTGTTAGTGATTTACTCCTGTCTATTTTATGCCCTTCCCCTCTCTCCCTCATTTTTGGTCTTATTTAGGTTACAAAAACTCTCAAGAATGAGCTTTTGCTTGTTCAGACAACACGTAGTGCATGAGAAATACATCCAGCCTCACCTGAGGGCCAGTGGGACCTAAATAATACAAATTGCACCAAGAGATCTATAGTTAGATCAACGGGTTCATAAAGATTGTAGCAAAAGATACCATCTTTTGCATTAAATCCAGACAATTAAGGCTGAAGAATGCTCTGAGCCCAAATCCTGTAAAAATAGATTCTACAACTACACAGAGAATGAACCTCTTATGCAAAGTACAGTGGAGCATTTCCTTCCCACAGGAGCTGCCAGGCCCTGGCAGCTCAAACAAACAAGCACACAGGTGACAAATTGCGTCTCATATCATGACAAAACAAGTTCAGCAAGTGGTGACTTTTTTTTTTTTTAATAGCATAACAGCATTTGATGAAGTTAGGCTTTGGCTCCTTCACGCCAGCAATTTTGAGTTTTACTGTATGTCATTTCAGTTCTCACCACCAGGTACTTGGCAAACATCTCTAGTGAACTGAGGGATTCAGTTCACTGAAAATTAGGAATAGCGAAAGTAATGCTCACTGAGCTCACTTTCTCCTTGTATGGAAGGACGTCAACAAGTTGATTGTCAAGACTCAGAAGCAGCATATGAGCCATGAGAATGGATAATAAGGGACCTTGAGGCATAAATGTTTCTGCATAAATTAAAGAAGAAAATGAACAGCGGAGTATTTGCTGAAATGAGAAGTACAGTGTTATGTGTGAAAATTAGTACCCTTGCTCTGCTGAAGAGATGTGGAAACTTTTTCCTTGCCAAAGGCTGAAAAGTCCATGTTCAAAAACAAATCTCTGCCTGATCCAGCAGTAAAACAACAAAAATCAGCTGAAATCAGTCCTTGGCTCAGTGTCCCCCTTCTCTGCTTTATTGGAAATTGTAAAATAACACACAGAAATTGATTAAACACTTTCAATACACCAAAATCAATGACATACAAAGTTACCTGAAACTCATCTTTTATCTGGCTGGAATTGGTCTGTGGATCTAGTCTGCTGATGTTGTAATATATGGATCTGAACTCACAAACTGGAATGGCCGTGTTCCCACAGAGACATGCCTCCAAAATGGCATCGTGGACAAATACATACTGCTCCTGCACAGGGGAGGGAATAAGATATTAAAATCATACTTTCAATACAGATCATGAAATATCACACTTTTTTTTTCTAAATCATGCCTGATATGCATATTTGGCTCTGTTTCATGTGGAGACAAATTACACAGAGTGCTATGTGACAGCTTTGTGAGCATATTTCATCCATCACTGAATGTGAGGTCTCTTATTCATGTCAAATTTACAAGTAAAATGGGAAGTCACCACTCTCAGGAACGCTGGGACAAAATGGGGGTTGCCTGAGGAGGAAATCAGGATGCAAAGCTTTTCTGTCCACAATCACAAGGCAATGGTCAGGAATGGATTGTGCTTTGGACATATAACACCAGAGATGATGTCTCGAATGTACAGGGAAACAACTGTACTAACAGGTCTGCTCCATCTGTCTCTTCAAAACCCCTAGACTCTTGGCATTCTGGGTAAAGTTCTTCCCTTGAACTAAATATGAGAAGTCCAACAAAGTTAAAAGCCCTTCTCTTCTCTGTTCCAGGCTATTGTCCTGTCCCTCAGGAGGGAAGGCACTGAAGCACACACGTAAAACTTGTGCAGCAGGATAAAGGTTCCATCGTAGTTCGCGCAGCTGCTAGACACTACGTGATGGAGCAGCTTGCTTATCAGCCCCCAAATCAAGGAAGTTTCAATTGTTTATCTCGCAATTGATATAAACTAGGTACCATTTGAGTCTGCAGTGTACCCATGAATGAGTCATGAGAGGATTCAGGAGACAGCTTTTTTCTACTGTGAGAACAAAATTAATCAGCAACGCTAAGACCTAAACTTCAAGGTTTGCCCTCCTGTCTTGGAGGCCCTGAGTAGCTGACAGTGAGTGTGATTCGTTGCACATCTGGTCATGTTTAGCCACCGCAAGTTCTGTATAATCACTTCGCAGAGGAAGCAAGTGTTGACTTAATGAATTGCTGGGCTTCTGTTGAGCAGAGCAGCTGACAGAAAAGCAGTACATCGTAAGAGGAGACCTGCTGGCACCTACCTCCGTCTGCACCAGATTGACCCTTTGGGATCGCAGCTCTCGCACACAGTTAAATATATCTACCACGCCTTCGTTCTCTGCCATGTCAAGCATGATGTCGATGGCAATAAAGCACCCTGTTCTCCCGGCCCCAGCACTAAGGAAAGAAAAAACAATGAGGTCTGCATGATCAAGAGACCATGGAGGGGCAGGGCTTTACGGAGGAGAAAATAACTGCATCACAGCCACAGTCGTCTTCTCTTGGAAGCTGCTCCCCTCTCCCTAATGGGTTGACTTTTGTGTGTAGCTAAATTATCTTGGTATTTAAGACAATGAGGGAAAATATTATTTCTTGAAAGGTAAATTGACCCAGGTAGCAGGAAAAAAAGCTTTGTGTTCTTGACTATCAACGACAAAAAATTACTCTGCGAAAATAATCATGATTTCACAGGTCAGTTCACCTGCACACCTCTTATCACACAGGACATGGGAGAGCAACCTCCAGGTTGCAAATAGACACAATTCCAGAAATTTTGTTTCATGGGACTCTTTAAAAGGCATGCGCATGTTTACTCAAGTGGGCGTGATGAAAGGTGCTCAGTCCTCCACCTCAAACGTTTCTTTTCCCTTTTTAATCCAGAGGAGTTTTGGTCCTGAGGATGGTATTTTCAAGTTGTGGATTGTACAATTATAGAGAAAGGAGCTCGAGGCTACTCAAAACCTTCAGTTTAGAGCCCCCCACTGCTCGTGAGAATTGGACCATGTCCTGAAAAACTGTGTTGTCATTGTGTCCTCCTTCCCTCCTGGGAAATCATCCAAGCTGTTTAGGTGTGAAGGAGAGAGAGAGGAGAATGTCTCTTCACATTACCCCGAAGGAAGAAGGAAAACTCAGCTCAAATCAGTGAAACTTCAGTTGCATGAAAACTCCAGCAGAGCCGAAAGCAAGGAGATATGAATGACCATAAATTAATGGACCAGATTAATCAACTGCTGAATAGAGAGAAGATATTTTTCATTCGCAGAATTTTAATGAATAAGTGGCATTTCCTCTCCCTTTATCTCTCAGCTTTTCAGAATTTTAACAAATAGTTATAACATTTCTATATTTAGAGGATCCTGGCACTTCATAAATATCGAACAGCGATATTATCCAGCCAAGCATCGGTAGGGAGAATTTGGTAATTACCAGTTAAAGCAAGTCATTAAAATTCAAAAGCAGATAAATAACATAGAGGAAATAGCATTTATTCATTAAAATGTGAAGGATGAAAAATTTCTCCTTGCTTTCTTGGTGACAACGAATCAGGTTCAGACTCCTTCCAGGAGTTATGGCACCAAGGTAGCAAACTCAGGCCCTGAGCTCTGAATGAACTCCTTTCTGCCAGCTCCTCAGGTTTAGCTGTATTTTATTATAAAATTGATTCGTTGCTTGCTAAAAAACCCAACAAAATAAAACACCTCCCCAACCCAAAACTGTTTTAAAAGGCAAGATTTAATTGATTTTCCTTTTCAAAGTGGTTGTGGGATGTATTCTCTCTCTCTCTTCCTAATCACGCAGCATGGCACTTAGAGGTAATTGCCTGTGGATTGATCAGAGTTGAGATTTTGGGAGAGCCAGCTCTGTTATCTAGCTTTGTGCTCCAGCCAGGTCTCCTTTATAGCACACACGCCCTGGGCTGTGGCCTGAGCACTACAGAAGTAGCTGCTACAAACCCAAACTCTGCTTTTGTAGCAACGTCTTTCCTTGCATCTGAAGTCATCTACCTCTGATGCCAGTCCGTGTGTGTGTGTGTGTCTGCCCTCCCAGCAGCACACCTGATCACGCCTCAAACTGTTACTTCTTCACGTCAGGGACACTCCCCTACGTATTCACACAGTGCCTTGCACAGCAGGGCGTTAAGCTCAGTTGGGAGAAAACAGCGCAGAAGAGCCCTCACCAGCAACGGCAGGAGCCAGGGAGTTAGCAAGCACGTGATTCAATTGTCTGAATTTTCACAGCTGTAAACCCAGCAGCGAGGTTTCCTCAGGCATTCCCCTTTGATTCACTAGCTGGAAGGTACTGGGCAGGTTTTGAGTCTGACATTCCCATTCTAGCTCCTGGGCTTTAAGAAGGCCAAGATGCACAATGGCTGGCATCCAGACCCAGGAAGGCAGACTAATATTTCAGATAAGGCTATTGATGCCGGTACAAAGCTGAACTGCAGCGTATGTGGGGACAGAAAAGCAAAGTTGCTTTAAAATTCCCTGTCTTTTTGTCGACATTGTCCCTTCTGCCACGTGAGGTTTGCTGTAGATAATGACTCGAATGGCTGTCCCAGATATTTACCATATTCCCAGCTCTGCTATGAGCATCTAAGAGAGTATAGGCCACCAGAGAGTCTTCTACATTCAAATGGCCCTCTCTGACTTACTTATATCACCTCCAATTCCTGCCAGCTAAGCTCCAGAGCTGCCACTTTAGAAAGCAAAAGCAAATTCCACTTTGTTTCCTGGTGAGGCCCACAAATTATACTCTTCAACAAACAAAACGTAGTTGATTATTGCCAGATGAGAAGAAAAAAAGGAAAAAAGGCTGAAAAAGCTGATGGAGGAAAGGCTCAGACAAAGGGCTTGCATACCTGCAGTGCACAACAATGGGTCCTGCTTCTAGGGGATTGAGAAACTTCACTTGACGAACGAAGCCCAGGAGGCCTGTGGCATAGCAAGGAACCCCGTGGTCCGGCCAGCTGGTGAAATGGAACTGCCGAATCTCTCGGATCTCATGGTAGCCTTTCTGAGGAGACAACACAGCCTCTATTTTTCTTCCATCAGACTGCAATCAGCATATTTTGACCACTGCTCCTTTCCCTCATATAGAGGGCTGAACAAGCATTTAGCTCTCATTATACATCAGAACGTGTCCTGTGTGGCTTCTCACTCCCAGAGATGAACTCCAAGCACAAATCACAGAATCATGAAATGTTTTGGGCTGGAAGGGACCTTTAAAGGTCATGTGGTCCAACCCCCCTGCAGGGACATCTTCAGCCAGATCAGGCTGCTCAGAGCCCCGTCCAACCTGACCTTGAATGTTTCCAGGGATGGGGCTTCTGCCACCTCTCTGGGCAGCCTGTGACAGAGTCTCACCACCCTCAGTGTAAAAAATTTCTTCCTTCTATCTAGTCTAAATCTACCCTCCTTTAGTTTAAAACCATTATCCCTTGTCCTATTGCAACAGGTCCTGCTAAAACGATTTCCCCCATGAATGAAGTGGGTAACACACAACTGAGGACTACGAAGGTGAATGCCAGCTCCCAATTCAAACCTGTGGTCTTAAAGAGTTCAAACCCAGCTGATTAGGAACTTTACAGGGCAACTTCAGTCCCAGCATACTATGGCTGCATTTACCCAGCCTCTTTTGGTGTTATTGCCATAAACCAAGAAGTCACACTTAAATCTTTTTGGAGGCATTAAAGCAACAGCCTGGGGAACGAACACCTAGAGAGTGGGCATGTCCCAAGCAACGGTAGATTTTCTGCCTTCTCCTGCCAAAAAATCTCAGTTTGAGATTACAGCTGCTGGTGAAAAGGGTAGAAACTGGTACCCAGACCCATCACTTGGCTTCTCTGGTGAGACCAAGTTATGGGTAAAGGAAAATTGACACCACTTGTACGTGCCCTGCAAAGAGTAATACAGAAGGGTTAGTTAGCTGTGACATTTTATCGTACAGGAAGGGTAGGTGGAGTCCAGCATCAGGTCCTCTAACCTGTCAGATTTTGGCATTAGCATTTCTTATCAAGCTTTTCAGTGATTTAATGAAATATGGAGCTGATGTATTAGAAAACTACAACAATATTCCCAGTGTGGCTGAAATTCATTTAGCAGGATTTTTTGAAAAGCTTTAAAACCACTTACTGAGCGTTTGGAGAGTAATTTGGACAGACCTGGAATACTCTGACACTTAGACTTCCAATTTCTAATTACAAGTAAAAAAATCTTCCAAATCCTGCCGATTTGGGGATCATTTTTATACACTTGCCTTTGTTGTATTTTTATTTCGGTTGAACGAAGACCCTACCTGGCATCCAATTTAACTGGTACCTTTGTTTATCTGTAAGTTGCCACTGTGAAATATGACAGTTATTATTCCTGGCATACTATCAACTGTCTGCTGGCTTTCGGATGCATTTAAACTTCATGCACTGTGGATTCTACTTTTGTTGCTGCATCAAGATGTTCATGTAAAATCATTTGTCCAAAATTGGAATCTCTGTCAAAAATTTAGGTTTCTGAAGTGAAATCTGTCCAAACAGTAACAGCTCACATCTCCAAGAGCATTCTGGATATGTTTCCCAGAGTGCACATTTCTGAACACAAATTAAGTGCTGTATCAAAATTTCAGCTGACTGAAGATTTCCTTACCTTTTGTACAGTAAATGTGCGTATGACATACTCTGCCAAAGGTTCTGTCTCAATTAACGTGACTTTAATATCTCCATAGACCTCTGTGTCATCTGGCCAGTATCGAACACACTTCACCTGGAGGGAAAAAAGCAAATATTGAGAGGAACTAGCTCGAGTTGAGTCAGAGCTGACCTACACGTTGCTTCACTTTCAAGCTGAAGCCAACACAAATTGGACTTTCTTCTGATGTACAGACCTTGTCAAAATTAACTGTATAAATTAGATCAAAATTCCTTTACCATATATAGAAACCCCAGGGAGGATTTTTTTTCAGTTTCCTCTGTTGTGATTACAAACGAAAAGGATGCATTTAGCTCTTTTTCTTTAAGACAGTCTGCCTTAAATTTCCACACATGCTCTGATCATATATCAGGTTTACAGAAAACCTTGCGTGCACTAGCACCATCCCCTTTGAGAAAAATCTGTCCTTTTGCTATTGCTACTGTAATTCTGAACTCTCTCTGTTTAGCCAAAGAGTTTCAGTTCATAGGGATTGGGAGATACCTGTTGATACATGAAATTTGCTTGACTCTAAGCTCTCCTTATCAGATGTGGACGCAACCTTGACATTTTACCAGCTGTGACAGTCCTCAGCTAAGGTTCACAAAAGAAATCTCCTGATCACGTAAATACATCCCAAGTTTAGCCACTTCTAGAAGCCACGTGCAAAACTAATAGTATAAATTAAAGCCAAGGCTGTGAACCTCTAGAAGGGATATTCAGACTAACAAAGACTCTCAAGTTATTAAATGCTCCAGCATGAAAGAGTGGAATAGCACCTAAAAGTTGAAGCAATGAGCTACTGTGAAGCAGGTTTCATGTTCCAGTTCCAGTCATAATCAGAACGGGTTTTATAAACATTAAATATGATTAATGTAGGTTTATTGTGTTGTTTGGGTTTTTTTTTTTTTTACACAGAGGCATTTATTTCAAACTGGAGTGTCAGTAGAAGGTAAAATAGAATAAATAACAATAAATGAATAGAACCAGCTGGCATTCAACTGTGGGATCTAAAGGAAATCAAATTCAAAGCAGCTGAATTACTAATGGCTGAGTAAACTGCCATTTAAATTTTTCTTAGTACCAAAGCAATGGAAGGTGACAAACATCAGGACAAAATTTTTAAGAGCCCCAGTTTCTGCCTGAGAATGTCTCTAAACAAACGATCACCAGGAGTGGGAAGGATATGCTGGGGAAAGCCACCCAGGACATGCCTTTTTCTTACTCTCTAAAGTCTAGCCTACACCTTTTGGGTTATTCATGTTTGCCCCCATCATGGGCTTTGGCAATTGCCTTGTGCTGACACAGGGACTGCTGGTTCATCTGAGTCCAAGAAGAGCGAAGTGGTGGGTGTTGACGAGGCCAACGCTGCTGGGTGGCCCCACGATCCAGCTGTGCAGAATCTCATACCACCACGAGAAGAGTGTTCTTCTGAAGTGATTGGAAACTCTAGGCTTTGAACTGGCATTTGAAGAGCTCTTTTGACAGTTTTAACACCAGTCTCATGTTCTCACCCCTCCAGATTTTTGTGGGTAAAGAAGTATTCAAATTACGCAGATAAAGAATAATTATTACAGAAGTACATTTTTCCTCCTGTACTGAAAAAGGAGACAGCTTCCCAGCCAGCATAAATTTGTATAACTCTGCTAAAGCTGAGACTTACACCAGGAAAACGATCCTTATTAGTCTAGAAGGGAAGCAGCTAAGTACTACAAAATCTAGCATTTTAGAGAAAAACCTGGAGTGGCTTAATTCATTCCCTTACTACAGTAAGGAAAAGGCATTTCACTTGCTGAGCTTGCCTGAACAGCAGCACCATGCTATACCCAGTGCTAGTTTGCCTTTGTATGTTGGGGAAGTGGTACCCTTACCCTGCCCACTTCCACCAAGTTGGTGACCATGACAACACTTGCAGAGTTCTCTTGCCAAATCATTCTCCAGAAATCTTTCACTGTCTCTTGCATTGGCCCTGGGGCAGGAGAAAAGACAAAAGGACATCTTAAGAGAGTGTACCGAATGCCAACAACTCCTTTCAGCTGTTCCCCAGCCATTGCCCTGTTCCCATGGGATCCTCCTCTCTCTTTCAGAGCATCCCTCTGTGATTCAGGGTTACAGACACAGAACAGCCTGGAGGTCTCAGAGATCAGGCACCTCATCCTTCCTCACAGGCAGTATTTAAGGTTCTAGCACCCTGGAAGGAGTGGTGATGCCTGTACCGTAAATAGTGGAGACAGTTCCAGTAGATAATCATGTGCAAGTGATGGGACATGGATGCACCCTACGGTGAGTCTGTAATTAAGGCTGAATTGAAATTTGTACCTGATGTAGCTCTAAAATTTGTCCATTTCACATTTTAATATTTATTCATTATGAAGGAGGAAGGAAACATGCAGAAATTTGCCCTCTTCTGAAGCTCACCCAGAGAGAAAAATTCAGGTTCCAACTGCCAAACAGCCAGTACTCGCAAGAGGTTTATTAGACCAGAGCCTCTCTCTGACCTTGTTTCCCTCCTCTCTTCCACACTGTAGATGAAATCCTCCCATGGACTCCTTTCACCCACTCTCCCCATACTCCATCCTCCATGTTCTTGGCTTGCTGCATTCCCTATATCCGTACATCCTCCAATACCAGTTTTATTCTAACATGTTTCTTTACTCTTTCAATAGGGACAAGCCAGCAATGAAGTCACAAAGTAGAATTTAAGAATAGACTCATTTCTGTGAACATCACTTTTGCAGGTAAGGAATGCACAAAAATGAGGAAAAATAATGGTAGAGGAAGTGGTCATGGCATAAGAGTTTGGCCAGTGATGCAGTAAAACAGCATCCTATTGTGAAGAGCAGGAAGGTTTGTCATCTAACACGGATAGCCCTCAGTGTTGAATTGCGGTTTTTTTCTTTTTTTTTTCCCTAAAGGCGCAGGAAACTCATCAACTAACTCACAGGGTTCAAATGCATTTCCTACTAGTTCTCACTAACCAGAAGTCCATCAGTCACAGGCTTATTCATTCTGCCCTCCCTCAAGCGACTTCACTGCAGAAGGTAAACCCAAGCTCCATAAAGTCCCTTTAGTTCTAACCTCATACTTCATGCACAAAGGACACATTACAGATTGTACTGCCACCTCTAAGACTGCAGCATTTTTTATTCCTGTAGCTGAGGTTTTGTGGTTTGGGTGCCTTAAAGATCTGGGAATATCCTGTATCCTTCCCTTTTGTGCCCAAATACCAAGTTTTCAGATGTTCCCCACAACAAAAGGTGCCACCCTATAAATATCTCTTACAACAGTTTAAAACAACATTGGTTTTACAAATATTTAGACATACAAGAATGAACTTGCCTTGAGTTGCAATGTAATGGCGAGGCCGGTGGTATCCCTGGGAAGAAAGAAAACACGTGACAGCCTGCGAGATCGCAGCTCAGACAAAGCACACCAGCGTGTATCTTATACTTTCCAGCAACTGCTGCATTCTCAACAGCATACTGACAGTGGCTGTTGAATGAGTGAAGATAGGCAACTAGGTTGCCCTGTGATATTTTAAGTGATGGTATCTCACTCAGGCTGAATA